ACGGCAGTGCCAGCTGCCCCCCGCCTCCCCCATTTCTGAACTGTCAAAAACAGGCTTCTGTGGATGCTGTGGGGCAGGGGGCCATGCTCGCCCACCACATTCCAGCTGCTCTCCTGCGGCTGTGGCTGCCCGAACCCTCCCGCTCTCCTCCTGGCTAAATCAGTCGGAAAAGCATCCTTTTTCTACCACCTTATTCTTTTGTCCAAAGGCATGAAATGACAGTCAAGAGAGGTTTTGTTTTCTTTCTGTCCCTGAGCTGATGGTTTGCTTACCCAACCAAAGAAAGAAAAAACAACCTTTATTCTCCTTACTTTGGTCCTTACAGTGGTGGCTCAGATGGTAAAGAATCTGCCTGCAATGTAGGAGACCGGGGCTTGATCCCTGGGTCAGGAAGATCCCCTGGAAAAGGAAATGGTTGCCCACATCAGTATTCTTGCCTGGAGAATGCCATGGACAGAGGAACCTGGTGGGCTGTAGTCCTTGGGATCACACAGCATCGGACACGACTGAGTGCCTAACACGACATGAGACAGCGGTGACCGGCCTGTGGGGAGAAAAGCTGCAGAAAAACAGTGGACTAACTATATCTTCATTTCTTACGATGAGCACAAGCACTGGGTTTTAGTTTAAACTTGCGTACATGCTGTCAAATATGCAAAACTGAGTGATTTTCTCTGTGGAATTTTGGGGCTCCCTCCCATGCAGAGACAATGCTGATTGGTCCAATCGCCATCCACCCTCTTCCAAGCTTCTCGTAACTTCCCAGTCTCTGTAATGAGAACTCACCCCATCTGACACCTACCTTGGTACTCCTCTGTCGCCCACTTCTGCAAAGCATTTGGATCTTCTACAGCTCTGTACCTCCCAATACAGTCTTAGCACCCTGGGTCATGTTCCTGACAATAATATGTCAAGATTAATGGACTCTTCTGGCTGCTGGCCCAACTCTTGTCTCCCCAAACCATCTTTCATCGACCTGCATAAAGTGCAGCTTCACTTCCGTTATTTCTCTGCTCAGTAACCTTCAGCGGTTTCCTATCAGTCCTTCTGCAACCGAGCTTCCCTACATGGTGGCCCTAACCTCCTTCTCCATCACATCTCTGTTCCAGCCCATGAATTGCAACCAGACTTAACCATTCGTTATTGAACTTCCCACATTTTGCTATCTCCAGGACTTTATCCATGGGACTCCTCCCACCCACCCCCAATACCTGGAATACTCTCCCTGCTCCCCTAACATCCGCAGGTTAAAATCAAGTCCATCCATCGGAAACCATCTCCAGTGACACATCTTCCATAAGGACTTGTTCCCAATCCTTCCAACCAGTGATGAACCTACTTCTAAATCCTATGACACTGTCTACCCCTCTACCTTGTAGTGTCAACTCCAGTCTATAGCAAGTTATGAGGAGCAGTCTGGTTGGAAGGGAAGGCCAGAGTCTGGCCTTAAACCTACATTTACACAAACACTCTGTGTCACTATAATTATATGAGGACAGAGGCTGATGAAATAAAAAACTGGAGCTGTTCAGGCACCGCCCCCCTGCAAACCCCAGCTACTGAGACTTCACTGCTCCACCTTCCTTTCTCCCACTGGACTGCATGTGCCTTATGGGCAGAGGCTGTGTTCCTCAAGTGCCTGCTGCAGGGTCCAGCACAACACCAGCTGTAGAATAACTGCTTGACACAAAACACGCTGGGTTTATTAGAGCAGGCAATGCCTCTGGGATGCCATCCACCCCACCTCATGGAGGTCTATGCCAAACAAGTTAAGACCTCAGCATCTACTCCCTCCTTGTGTCTCGCTGAAGCCAGGTGTGGGACAGCCAGTCCCTCTCTCTTTAAGAGGCTCCTACGACAGCTCCTGACCTGCTTCTCCTTTAAGCCTCACTTTTACTTTTGAACCTGAATTTACCCCGGAAAGTCATAATGGAGTGGTACTCAATCCAAAGCGACAGTCCAGGTGCCAGCCCTCAGTGGAACGTCGTGCCAGTTCACTTCGCACTGCTTTGCCAGCTGGGAAGAAGCCTTAATCAGTTTCATCGGGAATTTACTTTCGGAGGGTATGCTCTCGCCTACAGGTGCCACCCCTCACTAGAAACAGCTCCATGCTCCACACCCCAGTAACCCAGGGCTCCCTGCACTAGGGGGTGGCACCTCCTCCCAAAGGCTCCAGCCGCATCAGCCTCACCCACACTGCACACTTCCCAGCAGACTAAGGCTCACTGTGGAAACCAGAAGTTTGCGCAAGGGACTTGGATTGAGCATCCAGGGCTGTACCTATCCCTTGCAAACAAGAGAAAAGAAAAAAGCAGCCGAGAAGGGGTGGAAACCCCAGCTCTTTCGTTTTCCTCTATAAATGTAAAGCCAGATTTTAACCTCTCCCAGCAACTCTGTACACGGAACAAGAGAGAAACCTACAGATATTAGTACTTCACTTCCCCCACCACCACCCCTATTTTCATAGTGGCTTTAAATTTTTTTTTAACTCTTGGACCCAGGTTAGCCCATTTCCTGTTCATCTTTTTTTTAAGGAATTCAGGTCCTTTGCAGTAAAGAAAGACAAGCATTCCCTGGAACTTGATATTAGGAGTGTTTCTAGATGGTTGGTTGAGAGCATGTACATTTGTTCATTTGCACCCTAAACACACCCCATGGCCTCATTTAAGTCTGACTGCTCATGTGTGCATTGCAACTGCCTTTGCCTGGTTCCAACTTAATCAAGCACTTTAATGAGTAACATTCATATTTGTTATCTCCTCCATGGGAGCCGGTGCTCATCAAGGTAAATAGCAGCTAGCTGTCTCCACGGCCTATGGTTAAGCTGAGAATCATCTGTCCTCATCTAGACAGTGAACTGTTTGTCCCCCAAGAAAGGAAAACCCTTCTGGGTCCTTTCCAAAGGTTTCATTTTAAACTGTTTCCACTTACAGATCTTTTTAAAATGACAAGGGAGTTGGACAAGCAGTAAGAAACTGTCTATTTGGGTGATAGTGATTCAGAGGTTCTTGTGGCATGCCTATCAAGTGCTAGGCACTATACTAAATGCTGAGGATGCAATGAGGACCCCAAGTGGTCCAGACTCCTGCCTTCAATGTGCTTACAGTCTGATGGGAGAAGGACACACTAGATAAGGGTCATGCTAACCAGTGCATACCTGCAAAGTGAGATCACTATTAGGAAGGGAAACATGTGGTGCTGGAATAGCCATTCCCTACGGAGGAGAGGTTAGAGCTGAGTTGAAAGACAGAGGAAGGAAAAAATCTGTTTTCACCAACTGTTAGGGCTGGATCTCTCCCCCTCCCGCTCCCTCTCCCAACATCTAGTACAGCTCCTCTATGTGAGGAAACTGAGGCCCAACAAAGCTAAAACTCTTGCCCAAGGTCAGACCTAATTCTAGAAACCAGCGATCCCAATACCCAATCTCTTCCTGCTAAATCACATGGATTTTATTTATATCCCAGCTATAGACTATCTCAATGCCAATAAAACACAGACTATAGAGTTCAAACCACATCCCTCAGGACCACAAGCATAAACAACGATCGCGTTTTAATGTAGATAAAACCTTTTTATTGTGCAAATCCAAAGAGGTCTCATCACATCCAAATCCAAAGACAGCTTGTTTTCCGTTAAAAAAAAACAAAAAAACAAAAAAACAAAAATGCCAAGGGCATCACCCCGTCTGAAATACGCTGGCCAATTTCTCCAGCCGCTCAGCGCTAACAGGGGCGTGAGGTGTGTGTTCAGGCTGACTTCAGGGCCCAGCTGCAGTTTCTGATGTGTGCGGGGCGATGGGGTGGCTCCTTGTCTGTCACTGCAGGGATCCGGATCTTTCTCCGGATTCCGGAAGCCTCTGGGGAATTTATCGCAGCGCAAGTGGTCGTGTTGTCGCCAGTGTGTGCGTGCGCCGCGCGGTGAAACAGTCTTTTGAAAAGCCCGTGAGAATCCACTTGCAATCCACGCGTTTGCGGGTAAAAGGGCAGGGCAAGGACGAGAAAGACCCGCAGCGGAGCACACCCCGACCCGAGGTGACCGCTGAGGAGCGGCTGCAAGGTGGGGGGGACGTGATAAGGTCGTCTTTATCCTCTAGATATGCCTGAGCTTTGTACTATTGTATGCAACAGTGTATTCGTGCATTACACATTTAACGTACGTGTGTTAGCTTTCCAACAGAAGAGTCTTAAAACAAACATCTCAGTCTACAACAAAGGTGTATCTCTGGAGAGAGCAGCGGCGTTTCTCCTGGAAATGAAGGTCTATTCCAGAAACCTCAGAGCAACTCCCCCCGACCCCGCCCCGGTCCCTGACCCTTGGACCACCTTGGAAAGGATGATGGAAACGTGCTCTCCAGGGCATCCCAGCGGGAGATTAGGAAAGTTGCAGGCGCCTCGAGGGTCGCCGCACTTGTCGCCCGCGCCCCCCTGAGCCGGGCGTTTAGGGAAGTCTCGATTTGCATCGTGCGCAGTCCCAGCCCACCCCTCAACGGGTGCTGATGCGGGAAGGTGCGGCCGCAGAGGGCAGGGCCATCCGAGTCCGCACCGCCGCCTCCTCTCCCGCCCCCTCCCTCCGGCCCCGCCCGCCTCGCCCCCTGCTCACGCCCGGGGCGCCCGGCCCGCCCCCTCCCCTCCGCGCGCAAACGAACCTCTAAACGCCGAGCGCTCGGCGGCGGCGGCGGCGGGCGGAGGCAGGGCTAGGGAGGGGGCTGGCCCTAGCAGCCCGACTAGGCAGTTGTCTCCGGAGCGCGGGCTGCGCCTCCCGAGCCTCTGGGCTGGGGAAGCACTCTCCGTTCGCTCTCGGGCCGGCTCCTCCAGGCGCTCGCAAGCATGCAGCCCGGGAGCAGGCGGCGCGCCCCGGGCGGCTGCTGAGCCGGCCGGGGTGGCGGGGACCAGCGCCTGCCGAGCCCCTCCCACCTTGCCCCGGGGCCGAGAGCGGCGCCCCGGCACCCCCTCTTCGCCCGCCGCCCGGCCAGCGCCACCCCCCGCGGGCTGCAGGGGCTCATGCAGCCGCCAAGGTAAGCGCGCGCCGGGAGCGGGACCGACCCGGCTCTGACAGCCCCGAGGCGCCGCCGCCGCCACTTGCCCGGGCCACCGCACCGCTTTGGTTCCCACCGAAACCGCAGCCCCCCCCCCCCCCCCCGCAACCCTGCGTCTCATCTTGCCCAGATTTGGAGCTTTGCTGCGCCTCGATCGCTTGAGCTCTTGGCAGCAGTAAAGTTTTTGTGGTTTGGTATTTGTTCTTTTTTTCCCCTAAAATGCTCTCCCCCGGCAGCCCGCAGCGCGCGCGGTTGGGCACACCCTGCGACCGTCTGTACCACTGTGCCTGTGCCGGGAGCTCCGTTTCTCCCGCGCGGCCACCTCCTCCTCGGGCGGCCGTTCCGATCGGCCCGCGGGGCCTGGGACCGAGCGGGCCACCGGGCCGTCCCGCCGTGAGCCTTCACTGGCCCGACTCGCCCGGGCCGCGTCCCCCTGCCCTGCGCCAAGCTGCCTAGTTAGAGGGGGCGTCGACGCTGCGCTGTGTGGGCTTGGGTCCGAGCGGTCCCTTGCCTGGGAGGGCAGGTGCGCAGGAAGATGAGGGGCTTGGGCTGAGTGCTTAGGGGTAGGATCCCGGGGGGCCCTGGTGTTCCTAAGCGGACAGGTGGACCCGGCGGGCTCCGCGCAGCCAAGGCTCCGCGCGTGGCTCGAGCCGTGGCCCATCCCAGGGAAGGCGCTGGGGCGGGGGAACAGGTGTACCCAGGGCGAGGGCCGATGAGGGGGCGCCTCCGTGCAATTCTTGATTGCAGCCTGTTAATGTGATTGCGTTGGATTTGCTCGGACGTAGAGTCAATTCCCCCAGATTTAGATTTTTTTTTTTTTTATGGGCGCCCGCGGGCTGCTATTATGTGGTGTGGTTTCGGAAGGCGTCGGATTGTATTTATTTTTATAAATCGGGTGTCTTGCGGACGGATCAAGGGACATCGCGCCATCTAGCGGAAATGATGAGCCGCGCGTTTCTTTTAGGTCTCGAAGTTGGATGTTCTCAAAGTGGGAGACTCAGGGCGTCTCTCTGGGAGGCAGGAGCTAACCCAGGGACGAGTTTTCCCCGCTGTATTTATTTACCTTCCGGCTGAGCTGAAGCGCAGCGACGACGGAGCTCCGCGCGCCCAGCTCACGGGTCAGAATTGCAGGTCGCATTGAGTGGCAGGCTTTCACCTGGAGAAGATGAGTCACCTTCTTCTGGCTTTAGGGTCCTCTCTCACGAGCTCAGGGGGCTCAGTAGTAAAGAATCCACCTGCCAATGCTGGAGACGCACTGAGACATGAATTCCATCCCTGGGAGGGGAAGATCCCCTGGAGGAGGAAATGGCAACCCACTCCAGTATTCTTGCCTGGACAATCCCATGGGATACAGTCCATGGGGTCGCAAAGCGTGGGACATGACTTAGCGACTTAGCACACCCAGCACAAACATAACCGAGAATGTTACCAGCGGTGAGCCTGCCTGTTCTGGACAGTGTCGCAAAAATTGGCAAAACCTGTTCCCGGACTGTGCTCTTCTCCTGTGCATCACAGACACGAGTGATTTGTCAGGGGAGTCTTGAGCCCTGACCCCCTAGAAAAGAGATGGGCTGTGCTCTGGAGGGCAGCTGAAGGAGAACTGGAAAAGAGGCTGGCACAAATCCGTCCAAGAGAGGTATAATATACGAAAATGGCTTTTTTTTTTTTTTTTTTGCGCAGAGACTTCCTGCTGTTCCACTACCAGGGCAGGCAACAAGCAGGCCTCCTTTATAGGGGACATGATCCCCAATTAGCAACTGGGGCAGACTTTGTTGGATGGCAAACCCAGCGGACAAAGGCTGTGGGTGGGGCACCCAGAGCCAGGAGGGCTCCACGGTCTCTCGGAGCCTGGTTTTTGCTCCCACCTTCCAGGCCAGATGATATTAGCAATAAGCTGGACTCTCCCTGTTCTGAAGGGCCAGCTGGTTCCTTGCAGAGCGGTGTGGTGCTCTCCTTGTGGGGAGGGTCCTTGCCCCCTTGAGAGCCTCTGAGCTGCGGAGTTGGTGAGGGAGGTCCCCAGCAGCCTTTTTTCAATAACCCGGCTTCCATCCTTTCCTTCCCAGGTGGTAGACAGGCGCTTATGCTCCAAACAGACATTCCAAATGAGAGGTGGCTTCTCTGCTCACTCCCCACGCTGTCGCAAACTGTGTCCCCTTTTGCGGGTGTTTATTTCAATAACTAGATTTAGGACAAAAAGGGTCTTGCCGTAACATGGTATCTTATTCAAAGAGGGCTTCTGTGACCTTCGCTAGGGAAACTCTGTCTGCTTTCTCTCCTTCCAGGCCTCTCTGAGGCCTGATTCGATCCTTCCCCAGTGTGTGCAATAATACACAGTGGAGGATGAGAAGCCCCTAGTAACACGCCCCTTGACTTGGCTTTTAAACCAGCCTGTGGGGGCCAGATAGAGGAATCCTTAGATGAGGAGATGTGAAATAAAATGATTAGGTACTGAGCACCGGGATGGGGAGGGGGGGGCGCTGTTTCAAGTCACTCTCACAGTGATGCTCGCTGCTTCTAGGGAAGCGGTCAGGAAGAGGTTCTGGGATTTCCACTTCTCAAAACTGTTGCCCAGAGAGGTGGAGAGGTGTGGCCAAGGTTTTCTGCAAGTTTATAGGGCTTTTTTCCCTTCAGCCTTGCTACCAAACAAGTTAAATTCAAGCACTTGCTTTTCCAAGTATGGTCCCCAAATTAAGTCATGTCTTAGGAGGGATACTCTCTCCCAAAGCTTGCCACCCACGAAGAGAGGCAGGATATACCCAAATGAAACTGATCCTAAACAGACAAAGTGCAGGCTTATTGGCATCTGTTCCATGAAACAAAAGGGCACCCCTTCTTAAAGATCACTGTTCTAGAATTTGACTTATAACATCCCAAGACAACTTTTAAGTGTCTGCAGTGTCCCTATGGCTCCCAAGGAGAATGGCTTTGCTTTTCAAACAACATTCATTGTTTATTCATTGAACAAACTTAACAGAGACTTAACTTGAAGAGGGGAGATCCAGCCTTTCAGATGACAGTTCTCTCCTTTCCTCGTTCTGACTGACCAACAGTACAGTTTCAGCCTCCCTTCCTTTAGCAACGTTGCTCTGAAGAGCGATGAACAGGACGGTGGAAAAAATTAAGGACTGCCTTGCCCAAGTGGGCAGACAGTCAGTCGGTCAGCAGTCAGTTTCCTTGGTGAAAAAATGAACGTCTTTTAAAAGGATGACAGTTTCTTAGCCAGATCTGACCCATAAGGAGAAAATGCTGTATCACATTAGAGCCTAAGGATAAGGAGGCAAGAATGCCCACTGAGGTGTGAATATAATTCTAAGGGCTGGAAGAAAAAGAAATGTGATTTGGGCAGAAATTGGGGAAAAAAATGCCAAATGCAAATATCTTTTATAGCCCCCTTTGAAAGATTTAAGAATTTGTCTCTGTGGCTTAGAGGGTAAATAATCTGCCCACAATGTGAGAGACTCAGGTTTGATCCCTGGGTCGGCAAGATCCCCTGGAGAAGGGAGTGACTGCCCACTCCAGTCTTCTTGCCTGGAGAATTCCATGGACAGAGGAGCCTGGGGGCTACAGTCCACAGGGTCTCAGAGAGTCGGACATGACAGAACGGCTAACAGTTTCCATCAATTCTGCAACCATTTTGGAGAAGGAAATGACAACCCAATTCAGTATTCTTGCCTGGAAAATCCCATGGACAGAGGAGCCTGGTGAGCTCCTGTCCATGGAGTTGCAAAAGTCGGACACAACTTAGCAGCTAAACCACCACCACCAAAAGATTAAAAGTCACTGCTACTTGAAAAACATAAATGCGTGTACATACCTTATAAAATTATTATATCCAGATTTACTACAGTAAAGAATGAAAGTCCTGCAGACACTGTTTATGCAGAAAACTATATAAAATTGCCAGTTGAGTTTACTTTTCTTTTTTCGATTGTTTTGTTTTTTAAAGCAACACTCCAAGATGGAGAGCTTTCAGGAATCAGGATCCTGGGTTTGTCAGAGTCTGAAAATCTGGCAGAAACTTGAAAACAAAAGATTCTGTCAACAATCTGGTAAAACACAGCTAAGTCTTTTAGATTCTGTGTCCTTCACAGGACACATAGCAGAGATGAGCATAGAGATGAGCAGAGCCCTAAAGCTTGTTGATTTCTATCTCACTAGGGCATCTTTTTGGAGAAGGCAATGGCACCCCACTCCAGTACTCTTGCCTGGAAAATCCCATGGATGGAGGAGCCTGATGGGCTGCAGTCCATGATGTCGTGAAGAGTCGGACACGACTGAGCGACTTCACTTTCACTTTTCACTTTCATGCATTGGAGAAGGAAATGGCAACCCACTCCAGTGTTCTTGCCTGGAGAATCCCAGGGGCGGCAGAGCCTGGTGGGCTGCTGTCTATGGGGTCGCACAGAGTCGGACATGACTGAAGTGACTTGGCAGCAGCAGCAGAGCATCTTTTGGGCTTCCCAGGTGGCGCTAGTGGTAAAGAACCCACCTGTCAATGCAGAAGACAAAAGAGACTCCAGTTCAATCCCTGGGTTGGGACGATCCCCTGGGGGAGGGCATGGTAACTCACTCTAGTATTCTTGCCTGGAGAATCCCATGGACAGAGGAACCTGGCGAGCTGCAGTCCCTGGAGTTGCAAAGAGTGGGACATGACTGAGCAACTGAGCACACCCACACGCACAACAACAAATCCGCTGGGCTGCTGAGGGTTTAGCTAAGCTACCGCATTGGAAGGACTAATGCTGAAGCTGGAACTCCAATACTTTGGTCACCTCATGCAAAGAGCTGACTCACTGGAAAAGACCCTGATGCTGGGAGGGATTGGGGGCAGGAGGAGAAGGGGATGACAGAGGATGAGATGGCTGGATGGCATCACTGACTCGATGGACATGAGTTTGGGTAAACTTCGGGAGTTGATGATGGACAGGGAGGCCTGGCGTGCTGCAATTCATGGGGTCACAAAGAGTCGGACACGACTG